GGCGACGGGAGAGGGGGTGCCCCGTGGCGGAGGAGCCGGCAGCCACAGCCTCGGGTGAGGACTGAAGGGGCAGCCTGGGGGTTCCTTCTGACTGCACTCAGGGGCCTTTAAGTAAGAGGGTGGTCTCGGTGCCAGACTTGAGACAGGACATCGGGAGGACTTGGCAACTCCCAGAACTGGCCTCTGGCCCTCCTTCAAAAGGGAAAACAAAGGCAGTGAGACCCCTATGTGGCTCAAGACTATCCTCTCAGGGGACCCCACACACTGAGAGGTTCCGCTTGAGCCACAAGCTGTGGGGAGAGACTCATCAGCCATAGAACCTGTCCTCATAGGAATGCCACTTCTCTGGGCAACCCCAGGGAGAGTGGGGGAATGGAGTGAGCATTGCCCAAGCCCTGCTGCATGCCAGTCTCTGGCCTACATGTCACCCACTAGAGCATGCTTAGTCCTCACAGTGGCCTGTTTCACAGATGGGCACATGGGCTCATGGAGGTTAGTGACTTGTCCAGACAGAGCCTGGGCACAGGGCCCTCTGACTGCAAAGCCATGCTCTGAACCCTGCCCTCTGCCTTCCAAGCAGATGCAGGAAATGATAGACGGCTGATAATCTCCTTCCCTCCTTCCGTCCACTGTGCATACCTGCTGTGTGTGCCTGGCATGACCTAGACCCCACCAGAGGGTTTGCAGGGTGACAGAGATGATGGAAGAGGCGTGTGACCTGGAGCTCACATAACAGAAATGATGGAAGAGGCGTGTGACCTGGAGCTCACCACATGCCAGTTCTGTGCCAGCTGCTCCATGTGCTCACACCCACAGTCCCTCACACTGAGCTTCAGAGGTGTATGCACTGCATTGTGGAAAGATCACCCAGTGCAGGCCTGGTATGTTAGACAGCCATCCCCCCAGCAGGTCTGGGGTTCACCGTGCAGCCTAGCACTAGTTTCCACATGAAAAGTCACTTGAGTAGGAAATAGTCTCATGTCTGCATAGGTTGAGGAAGACCTCCAGAAGAGTGATAGAAAACATTCAGTGTTCAGAGTTGTAGGTTTTGGGATTGTGGATTAAACTGTGGAAGAAGACGTGTTTAAGCCTCCCAACAGCCACGTCCCTGTGTGGTGTGAACACAGTGTCATCCATGGGCGCTCACAGTCTGAGAAGTAACTGCAACGGCAGAAGCTGAGGTTGGGGCACTTGCTCTGTGCAGCACCGTGTCCTAAACGCTCTTCACACATCTTCGCACACGCTCACGGAGGGAAGGCATTATTGCTATCTCCGCTTTCCAGACAGGACACTTGAGGTACAAAGGGGTTAGGTCACCCGCCCGAAGTCATATAGATCTGTACGACTAGCGCCTGAGTTACAGTGACGGTGCGCTCTGTGGGGTCTTCCCCAGAAATGAACAGCTGAGGGTGCCAGTGCTAGGAGGCTGAGGTGTCTTCCCAGCAGGTCCATCAGGTGGCGTCATCTTCCCTTGATAGATAGGCTCAGGAGCAGTTGAGAACTCACCCCAAGCTACAGTTTACAGTTTATGACAGGCCGGGGCTGGGCTCCCGGTCCAGGGCTCTCTGCACGCCACTTCCTGCTCCCTGTGAGGAAGCGCTTCCGCAGAGGAAGTGCAGCTGTGGTGCTACTGCACCCTCTGCAGTCCCTCACACCTCTCTGCCTACTTCTAGCCATCGAAGCCATGAAGAAAGCCTACCAAGAAGAGCTGAGCCGGGAGCTGAGCAAGACACGGAGTCTCCAGCAGGGCCCAGATGGCCTCCGGAAGCAGCACCAGTAAGATGGGCCTCCACCCTGGGGTCTGTGGGCTGAGCCTTACTCTATCTGCCCTGGTTGTGAGTGGGGAACTTTGCCCCTTGGCAGAAGAAACATCAGTTTACCCTCAGCTGGTATTCCTGCTCCAGTCTTATGGACCCAAGGAACAGAAGCAGCAGGCCTTGGCCAGACCCCCATGCCAGTCCTTATAGACAGTCTTTTAGGCCCTCCCATCTTGGCTGGTCCCAGCCTCTACCCTTCTTTTCACCTCTTGAGGTCCCCTAGAGCTGGGATGCAATGTTACTCTCCACCGGTGGGTGTCTCTCCCTGCTACAGAGCAGGCCCTGGGGCTAGAAGAGCTTTAGAGATGGGCTCCTATAGCCCATTCTCATAAGGAGTCACCTGTAGCCCAGAGAGCCAGTCACTGGTTTGCAGCCCCACAGCCAGATGAAGGCAAAAGCAGGGAGGGAGCCCAAGAGTCCTGAGCTGCTGGAGGCTGCCACAAGGCTAGGTGGAGGACAAGAGAGCCCACACCATTCTTCCCTCCACCACCCGGGCAGGTCAGACTTGGAGGCACTGAAGCGGGAGCTGCAGGTGCTATCAGAGCAGTACTCGCAGAAGTGCCTGGAGATCGGGGCCCTGACCCAGCAGGCCGAGGAGCGCGAGCACACACTGCGGCGCTGCCAGCAGGAGGGCCAGGAGCTGCTGCGCCACAACCAGGTGGGCCTGGCCCCGTCAGGTGAGAGTGGGCCATGCAGGGCCCGGCACCACCGCCTGACCGTCCCCTGCCCTCCAGGAGCTGCACGCCCGCCTGTCAGAGGAGATCGACCGGCTGCGCAGCTTCATTGCCTCGCAGGGTGCGGGCAACAGCTGTGGTCGCAGCAGTGAGCGGAGCTCCTGTGAGCTGGAGGTGAGTGCCCTGCCCTCATTCCTGGCAGCCTAGCGCTCTCGCTCTCGGGGTCTGGACTGTCGGGGGAGCTTCTGAGACAGGCTGGCTGTCACCAGCAGCAGGAGCACTGAGTCTCCAAGGGGCCAGGCCCAGTGAGGGAGGCCAGGCCAGCGAAGCCAGAACACCTGCTGTGTTCCCAGCAGTAGTGCTGTGTTGGAGCCAGGCGGGTGGGATAGAGCCGGGTACAGAAAAGCAGGAGAATCAGAGCGGGCTTCCTGTAGGAATCTGCCTCCAGGATACAGTGGGTATTGGTGCAGGCTGAGGCTGCGTTTCAGGGACATGAGGCAGTGAGAAGCAGATAGCAGGGTGCCGTGAGCTGAGGTGGCTCTAGCCTCTGGCCCTGGCTCAGCTGGCCCCATGACCCCAGGTGCTGCTGCGAGTGAAGGAGAACGAGCTGCAGTACCTGAAGAAGGAGGTGCAGTGCCTCCGGGACGAGCTCCAGATGATGCAGAAGGTAGGCGGCTACTGGGGGTGGGTCAGCTCCTGGGCACCCATCCTGTGGGCACCTGCTCAGTGCCAGGCACCTCTCTGCCTCCCCTCACGCTGCTCCCACGTAGGTGTCTTTATGCCCACTCTATGGACAAGGAAACTGAGGCTCAGGAAGGGGAAACGACTTGCCCAAGGCCACGCTCACTTTTATTTATTACCATTGAGCATGTACTACGTGCCAGCCCTCTGCTAGGTGCTAGGGATAAACTGCAGAAAACTGACCAACATCTCTGCCATGGAGGGGGCCTTCAGTGTGACAAGCTGCATCGTGGGAATTCAGGGGGCCAGGTCTGGGTCTGCATCCTTCCTGGCCCACCCTTGGTTGCTTGGTCCCTGCTCTAGTGTCTTCTGCCAGCTCGGGGCAGGAGATGTCCATGCTGGTGGCTCTGTGAGCATGTGTGAGCCAGAACTGGGTTCCCTGCTCATAAAGGACAGGCAGCGTCCTCATGGAGAGGCCCTGGTGCCCACATCCCAGCCTCACTAACCTGTGGTCTTGGGCAAAAGCTCTGCTCCCTGAGCCTCAGGATGAAAGAGACAATGAATCCTGTGTCAGGGCTGGTGCTGGGGGTGGCTGTGGCCAGGACTGGGGCTACCCACCCAGGGCCACCTAGAGGGATGGAGCTCAGACGATGCAGAAGGGCTGGGCAGGGCCAGGGAGGGAGGCTTAGCATGCTCACGCCCAACCCCGCCCCCAGGATAAGCGCTTTGCCTCGGGCAAGTACCAGGATGTGTACGTGGAGCTGAACCACATCAAGACCCGCTCAGAGCGCGAGATCGAGCAGCTCAAGGAGCACCTGCGCCTGGCCATGGCCGCCCTGCAGGAGAAGGAGGCGGCACGGAACAGTCTGGCTGAGTAGAGGTGGGTGCCCAGGGCTGGGGACTCGCCAGGCTCCTGGGCCAGGGCACTTCCTCGGCTGCCATTTCCCTTTCTCTAAGTGGGACCCCAGTGACTCGGGTTGTTGCAGCTCCTGGCCAGAGGCTGCTTTGTCAGCCTGAGCACATTTCCTCGGAGAGGGGCAGTGTAGTGTGGGACAGATGCGAACCCTCGTCCTGCAGAGCCCACGCCCTTGCTGGGCTGGGGGCCGACAGAGTGTGCATGCCCCAGCTGACCCTCACCGCCCGCTCCCCTGCCCCACAGTGTCCCACCTGGTGCTGTTCATGAGTTCACACGGCGGTGTGTGCCTCTCCTGTACCGTGCCTGCCGGGAGCCTCCTCTCTGAAGCCCTTGTGGCTTCCCTAAGGCCCAGGGAGAGGCCCCCTGTGGGTCAGCTGTTTGGGGAGAAACCAGAAGGAGCCGCTGTGGCTCAGCCTGGGCCCTGTCTTCCAGGTTCTCCTGCTCCAGCCCAGCTGTGGCCCTCCAGCCCAGGGGACCTGCCGCCACCTTCCCTGCTGGGCGGAAGTCAGAAGCCAAGCTTTCTCCCCACCCTCTGTGGGCCGCATGTGCACTCACACCCACCACACACACACTGACACACATGCACGCACGCACGCACACACACACACACACACTCTGCATATCTGAGCGCGCCCCTCGCACTGGGTCTGACTTTGCACCTTCTTCAGGATTTTATATGTGAAGAGATTTTTATAGAGATTTCCCCCCCTTTTTTTTTCTCCAAAACACTTTATACTTTTTTAAAAAGCAATCCTGGTGGCCGTGAGCCTCCAGCACCACCTCCCCCTGTCTCTAGCTGAACTCTGTTGGGGCTTCTGGGCCGGCGGCGCTGCCCAAGGGTCTGTGGAGGCCCAGGCCACAGCCAGGGCAGGTCGACTCTAGTGGGGAGGGGCAGGGAGCCAGCCCCCTCTTCCTACCCTACCTCCTACTAACTATTCCTGCCCAGGGTGGACCCAAACCCCGGGACTCTGGACAGAGGGAGCCAGCAGCTGTGCCCACAGCCGAACCTCCCCTTCTTTGGGGTGCTGGGCGTGGCACCGCTGGAGCCACCAATGAAGACATTTCTCTCCATGGACCTTCTTAACTTAATAAAATGTCCTAGCAGCTCCGGTGTTGTGGATGGCTGGGCAGGGTGGGCAAAGGAGGTCGGGGTTTCTTAACATGGCTTCCCCACCTGTACCCCACTCATTGAAATGGGCTTCTATGAAAATCTAGCTCCTCCGAGGAGTGAGGTCTTTGGCATCCCGAGGGTGGTCTGCACATTGGTGGTGGTGGCGGCACCAGCGGCAGGGAGCTCATTAGAATTACCGAGCCCAGGCTGACCCTCTAGCATAATGGTTAAGCCCCGAGCATGGCAAGCTACATCCTTCCTGGCCAACCTCTGTGTGGATCCCACTCCGGCAGCTTGACAGACACCCTGGGCTTGTGTGTGTATCCAGAGTCCCCACAGCATGGCGAAATGGAGACGGGATTGTGGCATGGCCACACCCTGTTAGGGAGTTCTCTCTCTCTCTCTGTCTCTCTCTGGCATGCGCTCACTCGTGCTCTCTTTATCTGTCTCTGGTGAGCACACATGCCTTCTGGCAACTTTGTTTGGAGAAAGAACTATCTAGAGTCTAGCCATACCCTGACCTACTGAATCAGGATCTTCGTTCTGTTTTACTCTGTTCGTGACAAGAGTGCAGACGCACACGAGGGAGAATCCTCCTTGGGCCTGGTCGTGCTGGAACCCTCCTTCAGGTCTCCATCCCTCAGGATCCTGGGCATGCATGCACATGTGCAAGCACCTGGTTTGTTGCCACGGGGGCTGGGATTCGAACTCCAGTCAGTCATGTGAGATTCAGCTTCCTCTGCATAGCACTAAGGAGCCAGTCCCAAATCTGCATTTTAACAGTATCCTCAGTGATATGCAAGCCTTTCCAGGTCTGAAAAGCCCTGGAGTAGGGTACTGGGCTAGCCCAGGCCTTGGGAAGAGCCCGGGGCTCTTATTACCTCTGACTGTGGCTTTGGGCAGGCCACACCATTTTTGAGCCTCAGTTTGCTTCTTCATCAGATGGGTGTTTTTCTTTCAGCCCTTGTCCTGTGGCCAGAGGTCATGGCTGTCTGTGCACAGGTGCACATGCAAGTGCAAGTGCCCTCTAGCAGTTAAAGAAAGAAGAAATTTCAAAAAATGGGGGCAATATGGGCTAGGAAGTGACATTGGTGGTTAAAGTGCTAGATACTACATGACTAACTCAGCGGTTCAAGTCCTGGACCCAGCGGCTTGAAAAACATGCCTGGTTCATGTATGTGTGTGCCCAGAATCCTGAGAGAAGGGACTGTGGTGTGGTCATCCCCTGGGGGAGGGGTGGTCTCTCCTTTTCTCTGTCTCTGTGTATATCTCTCTGGCAAGTGTTCGCACCCTATGGCAAAAATCTAAAAGAGGTGGGAGCGGGGCAGTAATGTCTACCCTAGAGGATTGTGTTGGTATTAAATTACCTACTGTTTTGGGACCAGTAGTTGGCATAATGCCTATGTCACTGGACTCCCATGTAGTCGACCACAGTTCAAGTCCCAGACCTGGAGGCTTAAACTCACGCCAGGCACATGTGCGTGCGTGCCCAAGATCCCGAGAGGAGAATGGAGGAGAAGGGATTGTGGTGTGGCCATCCCCCTGGGGGGTGATTTCTCGCTTTCTGTCTCCCTGTCTCTCTCTCTCTCTGTCTGTCTGGCGAGCACACGTGCCCTATAGCAAAAACCTCCAAAAAAAAAATTACCAGCTGTTTCAGTTATACATTGGTGTATAGCAACTCTCACAAACCTAGTGGCTTAGAATAAGAGCTTTGGTTCTCACTCATGGTCCTGTGGTTGACCAGGACCACGAGCAGTCCTCTTCATGAAGGCTCAGCAGGGCTGGCCCCAAGGTGACTTCTTAATGCATGCATCACATGGGATGGCACAACAGCTGGGGCTGGCTGGATGTCCTGCCCCTTCTACATGGCCACCTCATGTGGCTAGCCGGGCTTCCTTATAGCAGAGGGGGTCTCAGGCTAGTCTGTAGTAGAGCTCCCCACCTGGTGTTGATTTTCCTTAGGAAGGGAGTTTCAGGAGACCCATGCATGCACATGTGCAAGCACCTGGTTTGTTGCCACGGGGGCTGGGATTCGAACTCCAGTCAGTCATGTGAGATTCAGCTTCCTCTGCATAGCACTAAGGAGCCAGTCCCAAATCTGCATTTTAACAGTATCCTCAGTGATATGCAAGCCTTTCCAGGTCTGAAAAGCCCTGGAGTAGGGTACTGGGCTAGCCCAGGCCTTGGGAAGAGCCCGGGGCTCTTATTACCTCTGACTGTGGCTTTGGGCAGGCCACACCATTTTTGAGCCTCAGTTTGCTTCTTCATCAGATGGGTGTTTTTCTTTCAGCCCTTGTCCTGTGGCCAGAGGTCATGGCTGTCTGTGCACAGGTGCACATGCAAGTGCAAGTGCCCTCTAGCAGTTAAAGAAAGAAGAAATTTCAAAAAATGGGGGCAATATGGGCTAGGAAGTGACATTGGTGGTTAAAGTGCTAGATACTACATGACTAACTCAGCGGTTCAAGTCCTGGACCCAGCGGCTTGAAAAACATGCCTGGTTCATGTATGTGTGTGCCCAGAATCCTGAGAGAAGGGACTGTGGTGTGGTCATCCCCTGGGGGAGGGGTGGTCTCTCCTTTTCTCTGTCTCTGTGTATATCTCTCTGGCAAGTGTTCGCACCCTATGGCAAAAATCTAAAAGAGGTGGGAGCGGGGCAGTAATGTCTACCCTAGAGGATTGTGTTGGTATTAAATTACCTACTGTTTTGGGACCAGTAGTTGGCATAATGCCTATGTCACTGGACTCCCATGTAGTCGACCACAGTTCAAGTCCCAGACCTGGAGGCTTAAACTCACGCCAGGCACATGTGCGTGCGTGCCCAAGATCCCGAGAGGAGAATGGAGGAGAAGGGATTGTGGTGTGGCCATCCCCCTGGGGGGTGATTTCTCGCTTTCTGTCTCCCTGTCTCTCTCTCTCTCTGTCTGTCTGGCGAGCACACGTGCCCTATAGCAAAAACCTCCAAAAAAAAAATTACCAGCTGTTTCAGTTATACATTGGTGTATAGCAACTCTCACAAACCTAGTGGCTTAGAATAAGAGCTTTGGTTCTCACTCATGGTCCTGTGGTTGACCAGGACCACGAGCAGTCCTCTTCATGAAGGCTCAGCAGGGCTGGCCCCAAGGTGACTTCTTAATGCATGCATCACATGGGATGGCACAACAGCTGGGGCTGGCTGGATGTCCTGCCCCTTCTACATGGCCACCTCATGTGGCTAGCCGGGCTTCCTTATAGCAGGGGGGTCTCAGGCTAGTCTGTAGTAGAGCTCCCCACCTGGTGTTGATTTTCCTTAGGAAGGGAGTTTCAGGAGACCCCGGTTGAATCTACCAGCTGCTCGCGACTGAGGCGTGGACATGCAGTGGTATCACTCCCATCACATTCTTCAGAAACAAGTCATAGGGCCAACTCTAACCTAGTGACTAAGGCAGCCAGAGCCCACATGGCCAACCAGGGTTTGAGTCACTGCCCCAGTGCCTTAGAAAACACCAGCATGTGTGTGTGCATGCCCAGAATCCCAATGGGATGGAGAAATGGAGACGGGATTGCAGTGTGACTACACCTCAAGGGGGAGAGCTCGCTCTCTTTTCTCTCTGACCAGCACATGTGCCCTTGGCAATTAAAACAACAATAAAAAGAAAGGAAAAAAGTTAGAGCCAGCCCAGATTCCAAGGGGGAGGACATTAGGATTGGACGCAAGTCCGCTGGGCACCATCTTTCTTCTCTGGCTCCTGCTCCACCCACCTCCCAGCTCCTCCTTAGTCTCCTTCATGGAATTCCCTTTGTCTGCCGAGCCCTCTAATGTTAGGGTTCCCCGGTGTCTGCCCTCAGCTGTTTTGTATTCTCTGTGTCCTCTTGTGAGGACCTGGATCTCTTGTCCTCGGCTTTTGTTACCATCTGTGCTAACCACCCACATGTAACCAGCCCAGAGCTTTCTCAGGATCTCCAGGCCTGGGCAGTCTCCATCTCGAGGCTACCACAGAGGCCTGGCCTGGCTTCCAACCTGCTCCTCAGCAGCGTGTGCCTGCCCCGCGGGTCAGCACGGAAACCAGTGTCCTGCTTGAGGATGTCTCAGTCTAGACCAGAGGTGAAATGGGAATCATCAGGCAGTTCAGTATACGAAGCCACCATCGGCACAGAGGATGTAGCAAACGCAACCTGGGAGACCAGGGGGGCTTCTTGGAGGAGGTGCTGGCCTGGACAGGAATTAGCCAAGCTAGGAGGACGGAGAGTATCAGGTTGAATGAGCATCGTGCTCAAAGGTTGGCTCTGTAATGGCTGGTCTTGGGGTGATGGGGGAATCAGAAGGCTGGGGGTAGAGGGCAAGCTGGAGCTGGAACCTGATTCTGCAAAGACGGTGGGGCCAGGTGGCCATCTCTAGCTTCATGCTGAGCGCAGCTGGGTAGTGTCCTGGCTCCAAGCAGGGGAGGTCTGAGTGGACACAGGGTTTTGGGTCTCAGAGCACATAGGGGGCCATTGATGCCCCCAGCTGACCTAGGACAGAACCCAAAGGGAGAGCGGAAGCCCACAGAGCAACTGAGCCTAGGGAATGGGGCGGGCGGCCTCATAGCAGCCAGTCAGGAAGCTCCAGCGTGGCAAGGGAAGAAGCGCGGGCCTGGGAGCCGGTCTGCGGCCTGGGAACGTTACGGGACCTCTCTGCCTCCGTTTCCTCCTCTGCAAAGTGTGAAAAAGAGAATTCAGTGAGCCGAGGCGGCACCGCAGTGACACGGTGATCTGATGCTACAGCCATGTGGGAAGACCCCGGGTTCATGTCCTAAAGTCACCGCATGTACACAGGCACGTGTGTGCGTCTGTGATTCCGGCTGCCTGGAGGTGGCCTTGGCATGAAGATCCCATAGGGACAGCTCTCTCAGGTAGTTCACATGAAGTGCCGAGAAGCGTGCCTGGTACGGTGTAAAACAAGCTGTTAGCGGTGGCCTCATCCAGCGGTTATCATGGCTGCTCGGCCAGGCGCCCTCTGGGCAGGGCACAGCAGCAGGG